GATGTAGAACTGCTGGATTGGGGCGCCCCATGTTTCGGTGGAGTCGCTTGACGTAGCGTAGGGCCTCGGTGCCGCATTGCTTTCGAAGTCGCGCGTGAGCGTGAGCCTCTCGATTAAATTCAGAATGGCCTGGCTTAGTGCTCTCCTCGGACTGGGTGGAATCCTCAACTGGGTAGATCTCGATCTAGGGCTCGACCATGACTTGCGCCATCGCAGCTGCCATGATGAATGGGTAGTCCCGACTGCTTGATGCGCTGCTTCCTTTCGAGTAGGTCGCGTCCGTGAGAGCGATCGCATCGCTCGCTGAGGATAGTTGCCATGAGCTTCTTGGTCGTCTTGATCATCGTCGGCTTCTTGACCATGTTACTACTGCCCTCAATTACATGACTGTACATGCACTTATCAAACCTGGCGTACTCGCCGCGTAAGCTACTAAATGCCACTGCATGCCAAGCCCTCGACGTAGCCAGGCGTTCGATGCGTGCATGACGTCTTGTCCCCTGTTGGATGCGATAGACCTTGACCGAAAACTATAGATGCACTCGGTGATGTCACTTGTAGGTTGTTGAGGTACTCCTTCCAACCCGGATGCCGGTGGATGTTGAGCTCCTGCAGGTTGGACCAGGGCCCGCGCATAGGTGAGAGGTGGACCTCATCGGGCTGCTCCTCCTGAAGCTTCTTCAGGAATGCCTTCTGGTGGTCCTCCTCGGCGAAGTCCCACCCGGCATTGAGCCTGAAGGTCTCCGCGCGTGCTCCTAGGTCACGGAGTGCTTGTGAGAGTCTGGCCTCTCCTGCGTAGACCTCCCAAACTGTGCGTCGTTTCGTGCGCCGTTGGCGAGCTACTCGTCGCATCGTCTGCAGGTGCTGGTCGCGGGCGCGCTGCGCTGCTGAGTCGATCTTCTGAATGCAGCTGGTCGTGGCCTGCCGGGCGGTGCTGCCGCGGCCGTCGTCGGCGCTGAATCCGACCTCATCGGAGAGCGGTACCTGCAAGCACCAGCAGGGCTCCGATTGGCTCAGATCGACTGGCTCGCCGGGTTTCGAGGTAAATCACAAGATCGCCGTAGCGTCTGCCCCCATTGCTCGCCGTCGCTGCTGGAGCCCGCCATGTAGACATTGTCCAGAAACTCCAGGCCGTTCCTCGTCTCGCTGCTGGGGTCTAGGAATTGAGCTGCGTCGGTTGGCTCGAATTCGAAATCGATCCTCGTGTGAATCGCGTTCTCGTTCAGCTCCTCTAGCAAGTCCACGGTGCACTGTCCTTGGGGAGAGAGGGCGGCTGCGTCGAAATCGCCACCGTTCCAGGGAACCATCTGCTTGGCGTAGTCGACATATACCTCGAACTCCTCTGGGACTTGCCTCGGAAACAAGATTGGGGTTCGTCCCGGTACTGCGCACATGTCAAGCGTCCCTGATTTGTGCTTGAATCTGGGAAAGTGCGCCAGTGGATCTCCCTGAATACAGTAGAAGGAGGGAGGGGGTCCAGAACCCCCCCCCCCCTTCAAGGGGGCGGGGAGGTCCGGACCCCCCCCCCTTCCGGCGCTGAAAGGAGGGGGGGTGGTTCGGACACCCCCCCTCCCCCCCTTTGCGCCGGGAAGGGAGCCGGGGAGGGGGGGCCTCTCTCGCTTCTCCTTTCTGCACCGGAGAAGGTGTGTGGGGAGTGCGGAGTTGGGAGTAGGGAGTGGTGAGTAGTGAGTTGTGAGTTAGTGCGTCGTGAGTAGTGAGTATTGGCTAGTGAGTAGTGGGTAGTGAGTGGCGAGTAGGGAGTAGGGAGTAGGGAGTGGGGAGTAGTGAGTAGTGAATGGTGAGTTGTGTGCACTGATAAGTGAGTAGTGAATGGCGAGTATTGAGTAGGGGGTAGCGAGTAGCGAGTAGTGACTACTGAGTAGGGAGTAGGGAGTAATGAATAGTGGGTAGTGAGTAGTGGGTAGTGAGTAGTGGATGGCGAGTAGTGATTTAGTGAGTAGTGAGTAGTGGGTAGTGCGTAGTGCGTAGTGCGTAGTGAGTAGTGAGTAGTGAGTAGTCAGAAGTGAGTAGTGAGTAGTGAGTAGCGAGTAGTGAGTAGTGAGTCGTGAGTAGTGAGTAGTGAGTACTGAGTAGTACGTAGTGCGTAGTGAGTAATGAGTTGTGAGTAGTGATGAATAGAGAGTAGTGGGTAGTGGCAGTGGGTAGTGCGTAGTGAGTAGTGAGTAGTGAGTAGTGAGTAGCGAGTGGTGAGTAGTGAGTAGTGAGTAGTGAGTACTGAGTAGTACGTAGTGCGTAGTGAGTAGTGAGTAGTGGGTAGTGAGTAGTGATGAATAGAGAGTAGTGGGTAGTGGCAGTGGGTAGTGCATAGTGAGTAGCGAGTGGGGAGTAGCGAGTAGTGAGTACTGAGGAGCGAGTAGGGCGTAGTGAGTAGTGAGTAGAATGTAGTCAGTAGTGAGTAGTGGGTAGTGACTGGTGACTAACAAGTAGGGAGTAGAGAGTAGTGAGTAGGGAGTAGGGAGTAGTGAGCAGTGAGTAGTAAGGAGTGGGTAGCGAATAGTGGGTAGTGAGTAGCCACTAGTGAGTAGTGAGTAGTGGGTAGTGAGGAGTGACTTGTGACTAGTGACTAGAGACTATGTAGTGACTAGTGAGTAGGGAGTGGTGAGTAGTGAGTAGTGAGTTGCGGGGAGTGAGTAGTGAGTATTGAGCAACAAGTATGGAAGTAGCGAGCGGTGAGTACTGAGTACTGTGTAGTCAGTATTGTGTAGGGAGAAGCGAGTAGTGAGTAGTGAGTAGTGATTTGTGGGCAATGAGTAGTGAGTAGTGGATTAGTGGGTAGTAGGTAATGAGTAATGATTTATGAGTAGTGAGTAGGGAGTAGGGAGTAGTGCTTAGTGAGTAGTGTGTATTGAGTAGTGGATAGTGCGGAGTGTGTAGTGAGTAGGGAGGAGGGAGTGGTGAGTAGGGAGTAGTGAGTAGCGAGTAGTGGGTGGTGGGTAGTGAGTAGTGGATAGTGAGTAGTGAGCCGTGAATAGTGAGTAGGGGGTAGTGAGAAGTGAGTAGCGAATAGCGAGTAGTCAGTAGTGGGTAGTGAGTAATGAGTAGTGAGTGCTCTTTGGGGCTGGGGTTAGTGGTTGGGGTTAGGGTTAGGAGTTTGGGTTAGGGTGAGGACTAGGGGTAGGGGTGGCGGGGGTCGGGTTCCGGAGTCAGGGGGCGGCGCGGCGAAAGGGGGGGGGGGCTGCGGCCAAAGGGGCGAGGGGGGGGGGTCTCTGACGACGGATCGGGGAAAGGGAGAGAGGGGGGGGGGTCCCCGACGACGGATCGAGGAAGGGGGAGATGGGGGGGGGTCCCCGACGACGGATCGGGGAAGGGGATGGGGGGGTTCCAACCCCCCCCCCCCCTGGATAGATCCAGCGGCGCACCTTCTGAATCTGGCCAGTATACCAGCGGGACACCGCGGGCCACCGTTTGCTGGTGGAGGGACTTTTGCTCCGGCCGCGGCCCAGCCACAGGAGAATTTCCTTTCCTTCGCCCACGCAGCTTCGCCTCGCACGTACGCGCGCACGGCACGCACGACACGAACCCGAAAATGAAATCGATTTCCCGGTCGAGGGGTTTCCGTTTCACGTCGGACTCACCCCCCAGCCTCCGATATAGATCGCACTTGTGTCTGGCATGCTGGTCGAACATTGACGTTTTGGTTTCGCACTGTTGTCGGTGCGTTGGGTATGTACCAGGCGGCAATTCCCCCGTCCGATTTCAAGGGTGGCTTCCGAGGGGAACCGGTGTGTGCGGGGGGGAAATCGCACATCATTCCCGCATTCCGCCTACAGTGACATCTACCTTGCCCCGATACCCACTGCATGTTGTATTCACGGGAACCCCCAAGAGATCTGGGAGTTGGGGCCGCGGGCTTCGTAAAGCGTGTGTGTTGTATTCAATGCAGAGCACTCGAAGGGTACATCGCGGCACGTCTGCGTTTGCTTGCTGGCTCCTGTAAGCAGCGTGCGCCCTCGACTCCAAGTCAGCAGGAGAACAACACATTCACGCAATGAATCGTCGATCCCCAGGAAATGTTGAACAAATATTTGGGGAGGGGGGGAAAACGAACACCCAGAAATATGACAGGTATGGGGGATCTTCGGACTTGTGTGCATTTATTTGCGCGTCCCCGGGCCGAAGGGGGCGGCTGCAGTTGCCGCGCCTGGTTGTTCCAGCGGCCCGCGGCCTGCCCTGTGGCCCTGCCGCCGCCGCGGCGGCGTGGCTTCGCCAGCGCGGGTCGAGATGCCTTTGGCCTTTGCTGCAGGTCTCGGCACGGCCTTCCAGGCCACCCAAAAATTTCCCTTGAGAGCGGGCTTCTGGAAGGAAGAAAAAAACACCAACCCCCCTTTTTCCCCCCCCCCCCCCCCCAGAAACCTCCGCTACGGAGGGTTCCTGGGGGGGAACCCTCCACCCCCCCGTGACCCCTCTCAAGAACGCCCCTTGAAGGGGGACTCCCGGGCTCTTGAGGGGGGACTCACGGCCCGCAACCCCGTGGGGGGCCCATCGGCTTCGACGCCCCTTTCGGCGAATCTGCCTCAGGGGACTAAAGAACACAATTCTCACAGTTGCGGTGGGCCAGCTTTCTCCGACCACGGGGAGAACGAGGAAACGGGGTGCCCAGTTTGTTTTAATTCACCGTATTTATCACATGATTTGGAGGACCAACAACGGTAATTGCTGGAGAACATGAAGAAGGGCAATGGGGTGTGTTGCCCTTGCGGCAACGAATCGCCACAATGTTTTGAACCACGCCAGCGACACAACGTGGCGTTACGGCGTTGTTTCGCCAGCGTGGTTCACCATATTACCGTTAGTGGTTCAAACAAGTTGTTGGTGAAAGGAGGCGGAAGGGTGCCAGGTCAAGTTTATCGCGGCCATTTGGCCTGAACTCTCTTGTCGCATCGCCAGGCACACTTGCTCGTGTGCCGATGAAGGCGAGAGTCTTTTGCAGAACGTGGCCACCCACACGGTCCGAGGTTCTTCGCCCGTCAGGTGAAGAGGCGTGATTTTCGAACTGGTTGGATGGTGCAGCAAGCTGTTGCTCTCCAGTGTTTGAATATGTGTAGATACAAACTCAGGCTTGTGGACGTTTTAGACGCCCTTTCTATACAGTGGCAGTAATCCCCCCAAATCGCGAGGGTCTCAGCAAGTAGTGGTGCGGCTGCTTGCCAGATCCAAGGGTGTTCGACTCATACGATTAATGTTTATTGCAGACAGCTGTTGCAGACCATGTTGGAAGCTTGTGAATGTTGTTCAGCATTTTATTGTAGACAGCTTAAACTAACTATGAAGGTCCAGCATGTTGGGTATACTGCCACTGCGTGTAGGTTCTCCGAATGCATTTTCCATTGGCGACCAAGTAGCACCTACAGTCAGCCTACAGAACTCGCCACGAGAAGTGCGCATGACCTTCAGCACACGCTTCTTGATCATGGGCTCACGTCAGGGCCAGGGCGTCAAGGGACGAGCAGACGAAAAGGCGACCGTCATCCTTCCCATGCCGACAGCCTGTTTTCGCTTGGTTGGCGCCGGTGCAAAACGTGAATGCCTGGTCGGGGTCCGCACGACATCACGCTTGCGACCACCCGCGCTCCCCAGGGGGGATTCGTGGATACGGTTGGTTTGACGTGCTTCATTGTCACCGAAAAATCGCGTGTGACAATGTCTTGTCACATTCCAAGCACGACGTGGAAACGGAAAATGAGTAGGGCGGGCATTTCCAAAGTATGTTCCATGTTCCCAATTTGCGGGGGTATCGGGGGCCATTGGTGGTACATCATGGTATTCAGGAAGGCATTGCCCATGGTCTTTGCTGGTGCGTTTTGTCGCTCAAAACGTGGTATTTGTTGCAGGGGGTGTGCAACATGAATGCGCAATGAGTTGTGAATGTTCGTTCACATATGATGCTGAATTGAAGGTGCATGCAATTTGCCCTTGCGTTGCCACCGCTGGTGGTGATTGCGACCCCTGCCTTTCCGACCAAGTCTCCTGTCAACGCGTGATCACTTATGATTGTGTGGAGAACGATCCACCGCAAGTCATTACACGGGTACCTGAGTTTGTGTCGATATCAAGTGGTTTGTGCGTCGTCGTGGTACCGTGCGCACATCGGTCGCGATCAGTCTTCTAAGTTGCGCGGCTTCGCTCTAGGAATACGTCGGAGGTCACTAGGCATCAGCATGGTCATTCTCTCAGGGAGGCGGGGCGACAACCAACGATTGCCCTATCGTAGGTTGCCATCGTATGATACCCAAACATGTTTTGAAAGTTGTGCTGTTACGGTAGGTTCGCATCGTATCGACCGGCGGCGACCCCGCCGCCGACGTTCAATTTTGAACGCCCTCCAGCGACCCAGAATCGGTCGATATTCAACGATCTGACGTTGCGGAAACGGCCGATCGTTCAAGGTTGAACGGCCCCCGCGGTGTCAGAAACCAACGCCGAAGTCGGCACGACACAAACCTGCCGTATACTGAAAGCTTGTCAGGGGCATGCTGATAGTGTTTGGGAGGCGCCTTAATGGGTTCTTGGGCGCCCCTTGGGCGCGTCTTGGGATCTCCTCGTGGGCTGCTAGGCCCTTCTCGGGGCCAGATTGGTCATCTTGGTGGCATTGACGGCCTTCATCGGCCGGTTTAGAGACCGTCTTGGGTATCGTGGATGCTTTACCTGGGAGGCGGGTGCCCAGTTAGTCTAGGGACGGTTGGGGTGGCGCGCGCACGGGAAAGAGAAGGAGGAGAGGAGCAGGAGGAGGAGGAGGAGGAGGAGGAGGAGAAGGAGGCTCCATAGGCCGCGGTCTCAGCTGAGCTCCAGGTCCGCCTACAGCCCAGCCAATCAATCAATCAATCAATCGATCAATCATATAACTGCTTGCTGGTGATTGATTCCTCCGAGGTTGGGCGTCGTCAGGGAGTGTCTCTGCTTTGTAGTCCATTCTGGCTCAAGGATGGACGTCGGGCAGGCCTGGCCGCTCCTCTACCAGTTGGGAGCGGCGGCCTCGGGCGCCGCGCTCGGCCAGTTCGTGCGGGAGCGGCCGCAGCACTGCCATTGCGACTGCGACTGCCGAGGGCCAAGCAGCTACTCTGGCCAAGCAGCTGGAGCACTGCGGGCCAGCTCCTCCGCCGCTGCCGGTGGAGCTGCTGCCCGCGCCGCGCTGGGGGCTCTTCGTCCTCGGCTTCGCGACGGGCGTGGCACTCACGCTCGCGGTGTTCGTGGCGGTGGCGCTGGACCTCGTCCGCCGCGGGGCGGTGAGGTTCGTGGGCCAGCCGCCCGCGCAGCCGCCGCAGGCGGCCATCGCGTGCGGGGCGCCGCAGGCGGGTCCCGCCGAGGCGCCCGCCGTCAGCGGCGCGGCGGAGGCGGGCGCGCCCGCGGCGGCGGTCGCGCCGCCCCCCGCAGGCAAGGGCGGCAAACGTGGGGGCAAGGGCGTGCTGGTCGTCGCACCCGCCGGGGACCTCTAAGCGCGATGGCGGCCGCGGCGGCCGCTGCCGTGCTGGACCGCGGGTCAGCCGCCTGGGTGCACTACGGCGCGGGCGAGCACCACGCGCGACTCGTCGGCGCGCACGTCGAGAACGATGAATATGCGGTCGTGACGCCCGATTTCGACGTCTTCGTGGAGCAGCTGAGCTTCAACAGCGGGGACTTGGAGGGGGTCCGCTTCTCGGCATCGATCGACGTGCGGCCGAGGGGCGCCCCTGCGCCTGGCAGTGTGCTGTACACATTCGCCCCGCTGGCCACTGCCGACATCAGCGAGCTGCTCGCGGAGGCGGACCAGGTGGCGAATCTCGAGCGGGTCCACCGCGGGCTCCCGCGGCTGGGCGAGGCGGCCCGCGCCCCCGGAGGCGCGGCCGCCGTCGCGACGCCCGTGCCCGTCGTCGCCCCCGCGCCAGGCGGAGCCCGCTTGGCCTCCGCGGGAGGCGCTTGGGTCTTGACCGAGCCCCTCGTAGGCCACGACGTCGGCGACGTGTTCACGCTGCCAGTGGGCGCGACCGTCCTCGGGACCCGCGCGCTTGTCGTGATCGACGGTACCGTCGCCAGCCTCGAGCAGCTCGCCGAAGGGGCGGGCCTGACCCGCTGGGCCCTGGCGCACTCGATCCCCCATCGTGCCGTTCAGCTTCTTGCCACGGTGGACGGGCTCAACGTAAAGAACCTCGTCGGGGTCGAGCTCCCCCCGAGGCGCATCACCTTGCACGAGGAGGCGGTGGCCGAGAACCCCGAGGCGCCGGGCCACGAGGGGGCCGACCACTACCTGGGCATCAGCGAGCGCTCGGGAGGTGCCCAGACGGCGCCGTCGCTGCGGGCCCACGTCGCTACGGAGCTCAGCAAGGAGGCGGTGATTCTGAAAGAGAAGCGGAAGGCACGGGAGGCCAGGGCCGCGGGCGTCGCAGTAGCGAAGGCCAAGGCGGACCCCATGGGAGCGGGGGCGGTGTCGCCAGTAGTCGCCCCCGTCTCTCACATGAAAGCTGGCCTGAGGTCTGAGGGGGTCTCCTCGGGCCGCAGTTTTGGCGCGCGTCGCCCTGGGGTCTGGCCTCGCCGACGGCAAGAAGCAGCAGGGGATCGTCGTGGCCGCGGCCTCTTTCCTCTTGCTTACGCTCCTCGTGATCAGCGCCCCGGCACCGGCAGCGGGGGGGGGCTCGGCCGCATTTCAAGCGTTGGAACGCCGTCCAGCTGGCAGCGCAAGAGGCGGTTGACGGCCTGAACCTGCTCTTCGGGCGCGACCCGCAGGAGCTCTCGGCGCTGCCGCTGCGCGAGGGGGCTGAGGCCGCGCGCGGCTGCAGCTCTTTGCACGGTGCAGTTCACCGGCACCTGTTCTCCACCATCGCTTCGGGCATGCCCGATCATGCACAAAGTGGCCGCGCCTCTTTTCGTGAGTTGGCTGGCACCAATGCAGATTACGAGATGCTTGCACGCGCGGTCGAGCCATGTGACCCGAAAAAGGTGCCCTTGCCGGAGGGGCGGGTGTCGCCAGTCGTCTTGACTGATTCTGTTTCTTTTGAGCTCGGCCGCAGTCTCGACCTTGGTAACATCTTGGCCGATGCTGAGGTGGCTGAGTACCTCTTTCGCCACGAGCCCGTCGGGTCTTCCACGGATGTCAGAATCAGGGCGATGAAGATGTCCGACATACCTTTCTCAGAAGTTTGCACGATTGCGGGGCCCCGGGGTTCTGCAGGGCCTCGAAGGACCACACCGGCCTTCGTTAAAAGGAAGCAGGGCCGCCAAAGACTCGCCCTGGACTGCCGAGGAGTCAACCAGTTGTTCCGCCACCCCCCCGAGCCCGAGATGAGCTCGGCCGAAAAAATGCACGGGCTTGAAGCGCCAGACGGAGAGTCGCTTGTCTTTGCCGCCACGGGGGACATCCATAATTGCTTCCACCAGCGCGGGGTGCCTTCTGTGCTGAGCGAGTTGTTCAGCTTCGAAGCCGTGGAAGTGGGCCCATCAAAAAAGTGAGGAGCGACTTCGGACGTGTGGGGAGAGCCGTTGCCTGACAGTGGAGAGGTCTTCCCGCGTTTGCTTGTGTTGCCGATGGGTTGGACTTGGTCTTTCTATATCACCCAGGCCTTGCATGCCGAGTTGTTTAGGGTTTAGGGTTTAGGGTTTAGGGTTTAGGGTCCACTAGCCCAAACTTGCAGCCCACTTGACCGTGTCCCACCCACCCATGACCCAAGACATATTGATCTCGATGCGGTATCAACACGCGACTCGCAAAACGACGACGAGGACGACACCGATGACGACGACGTTGATACGACGACGTTGATATTGTTTTCAACGACGACGACGCGGCCGCGCAAAGACACCTGGGACGCGGCTGCAACGGCGATGCGGCCCGCGCGCGCGACGACGCGATTTGAAGAACCACGTTTTTTGACGCGAGTCCCTGTGCGATGCAGGGACGCCGCCCAGCGGCGGAGAGGTTGCACGCAAGATCCACGCTTATTGACGCGAGTCCCTGTGCGACGCAGGGACGCCGCCCAGCGGCGGCGAAGTTGCACGCAGTGGTTGCCCAAGGCGCGCACCCTGGGATTTGCAGATCCTCCCAGAACGCCATTCCTGGCGCTCCGAGGGCAAGGATCTGCGCGAGGGGTGCGCCAAAATGGGGGGGGGGCGGCCGAAGGGGGGACTTTAGGGACGCGGAAGGCATTTCAGGATTTAAAATCTTTATAGGCTCTTAGTTTTTAGGGTGTTGCCCGCCAAGCGGTGCGGGCGCGCGCACGCATCCCACCCCGACATCAAGATTGTTGGGTGTGGGATGCTGCGTGCGCGCTCGCGTTGCTTGTCCTCCCGCCCCAATCCAGCCCGGCTATTCTCTTTTAAGGTTTAGGGGCACAGAGAGTTCTTCCCCCCGGCCCCCACTCATGGGGGTGTCGAACACCACGTCGTCCTACCTGAGAACGCGCAGGCGCTGTAACGCATTGGGGAACAGCCTCCAGGTTTAGTTCGCGCGTTGGGGAACGCCCGACCGGACGATCTCTTCCGACTCTCGCAGGAGCGGATCTGCGCGGTGGCGCACGCGCAGCGGTTTGCCGGCCAACGAGGTGTCGTACTTTGTGGCCCATGTTACGCTGGCGACGCCAGAACCGCGCCTGCGCGCTCTTTTTCGATGCCCAGGCGCGCTGGCGAGCGCATATGGCGATTGAAGTAAACTTACGCAGATGCCTCAATCTCAGAAGCGATCATGGTGGGCCACGACAAAGGGGACCAGCTCGCCGGACGCTCCGCGGCTCGCGCGCGCGCGAGGTTCCCGCGCAGACACCACGTCGTCCTAGAGTCTCCGGGGTTCGTTCGCGCGTTGGGGGACGCCCGACCGGGCGACCTTGTCCGATTCTCGCAGGAGCGATTCTGCGCGGTGGCGCACGCGCGGCGTTTTGTCTCGGATGGTGGGAGGGGGAGCTCGAGGGGGCGGGCCTGGCGCCCCCTCGATGCGACGCACCAGGCAGCGCGTCGCGTACGTCAGCCGGCCGGCCGGCCAGCCGGCCGGCCGTCGAGTGTATTCTTTATCGCTGAATTACGTTGGCGACGCCAGAACCGCGCCTGCGCGCTCCTTTTCGGTGCGCAGGCGCGCTGGCGAGCGCATATCGCGATCGGGGTCAAATTACGAATATGCTTCAATCTCAGAGGGGATCATGTTGCGCCACGACAACGGAGACCAGTTCGCCGGACGCTCCGCGGCTCGCGCGCGCGCGCGAGGTTCTCGCGCTGGGGACCCCCTGGGAGCGCTTGGGGAGCCTCTGGGGCGCGTGGGAGCGCCTGGGGAGCGCCTGGGAGCGCGCCCAGGCGCGCTGGGAGCGCTTGGAGAGCCCCTGGCAGCGTTTTCCTAGGTTGTCCTAGGTTCCTGGGGGATCTTGCGGTCCCGCTGGCGTTGGGTTCCGGCTTTCGGGTTCTTATTTCCTGCTACGCAGGTAGCCTGTGGCGTAGCCAGCCTGAGGCGTGGCGTGTGGGCGGTCGAGCTTAACCTCTCCCTTTCCGTAGATCCTTCAGGCGCTCCACTGAACGTTCCGACCAAGGCTCGTATGCGTCTGGGGCATCCCGACAGCGACGCATACCCGAGTTTAGGGCTTCTCTTAGCGCAGCGGCCGACAGTGCAGGCAATGCTGCCCCCCCTTCGGCAAGCTTGATTGGGGGGGCGGTTAGCCGACCCGAGCAAGCTTGGCGAAGGGAGCAGGAGGCGCAACATCTCCCCACCCCCAGCCGCCTGGCCGGCGACCTCCCAAACTAAAGCCTTTTAGGGTTTAGGGCCGCTGGCCCCTAAATTCCCAAATGGCTCCAAGTGCTCTCAGGCGCTCCCAGGCGCTCCCGGGCGCTCCCAGGCGCTCCCAGGCGCTCCCTGGCGCCCCCTGGCGCTCCATAGCGCTCCCAGGCGCTCCCAGGCGCTCCCCCAAACGCTCCCAGGCGCTCCCAAGCGCTCCCAGGCGCTCCCAAGCGCTCCCAGGCGCTCCCAAGCGCTTCAGGCTTCCCCAGGCGCCCCCAGGCGCTCCCAGGCGCTCCCAAGCGCTCCTGGCACGCTCCCAGGCGCTCCCAGGCGCTCCCGGCACGCCCCCAGGCGCTCCCAGGCGTCCCTGGCGTTCCCAAACGCTCCCTGGCGCTCCCAGGCGCTCCCAAGTGCGCACATAAACCTTTTAGAGCGCCCCGCACGTGTTTTTTCGTGTCGGAAAAGCGTAGGGCCGAGTTCCAAGTCAAAAGTATTTGGGTCTAGGGTGTTATATTCTTTGAGGATCAAAGGGGCGTTTATCGTTGAATCGCGACTCCCCGAAGGGGGGCAGCCTACGGCTGCATGGGCGACACAGTCTGGCAACCAGCTGACGCACATCAGAGATGCCCTGTCTCTCGTAGACGGCGACGGCGATGCGCGGTGGGTGGGCAGAAGCACAACGAGGTGCTTGGGAATTTAGGGTTCAGGGTTCATTCGGGGCTGCTACTGGAACCCGAGGCCCCTGTGGGACTACGTGAGTAGGGAGCTCCTGGTCTGCGCCAGCTTGGCCCCCCTGCTCTCGGGCAACTTCGGGCGCCCGCGGCCCCCATCTGCCCTCGCGACCGACGCTTCGGGGAGCGGGTGGGGCACCATGGAGGCGGGCTTCAACAGAGACGAGGCGGGGGTGATCGGGAGGTGGAACGAGCGCTGGAGGCATGAACGGCTGCCCCCGTCGGAGCGGGCCCCTCGTCGTCGCGCGCCTGCCGCCGACCTGGGCCCCCTTGCGGGCGCCCTGACGTCCGACGCGGGCCCCTGGGACCTCGACGCGCTCGGCGGCGCCCCCTCGGAGTTCCCCTGGCGGCCGCGGGCTGGCTTCCCCGAGATCCCAAAGACCACCATCCCGGGACGTTCTTGGAAGTGTTGGAGGGCTGGGAGGCACAGGTTCGGGGAGCCGATCGGTAACGAGGAGGGCAGGGCCGTCATCAAGGGCATGCGTCTGAAACTTCGGGACCCCTGCCAGCACCACCAGAGGCACCTCGTCCTTGTCGACAACTTCTGCGTAGCCCATTGTTTCTCGAGAGGGCGCGCGGTCTCCTTTGGGCTACTGCAGTTGGTCCGCCGCCTCGCAGCCCTCTCGATCGCCACGGGCTCATGGGTGGCGCCCCGCTGGGTTCCGAGTGAGCACAACCCTGCCGACGAGCCGCCCCGCCTTTTCGAGGGGCTCAAGGAGGCGCGGGCCGCGCTGCATGAAGCGCCTACGGCGGGAGCAGAGCCTGGCAGCCTGTCAAGCAGCCGCCGCGCCACGGAGGCCGCCGGGGCCCTTCGGGAGGGCGCGCTGCGGCGCGCGGGCCGCCCCGCCGGGAAGGCCCCCCGCCAGCAGGGCGCCGCGAGGCGGGGGCCCGCCGTGGCCCCCTCTCCTGCCGCGCGGCCGCCGCCCCCGAGTCTTGGGCGGCGAGCGCAAGGAGGGGAGCTCAGCGCGTGCGAGCTCGCGACCGTCGGCGCCAAGGGCTCGGCCGCCTACGCGCACTTCGAGAACCTGTTCCGCGAGCGGCAGCGGCGCCGAGGCAGGAGCACCGACGACCACGGCGAGATGGAGGTGAACCTGCTCGACTACCTGGACGAGCTCCTGGCCTACAACGCGAAGCTCACGCACGCCGAAAAGATGGTGCACGGCCTGTTGCACAGCACGCTGCCAGGACAAATTCGAGACTACCCTCGACTTCAGCGGGCCCTGAAGGGATGCAGAAAGCGGCCCCCTCCCGTCAGCAGGATGCCGCTGCCGGTCGAGGTCAAGTCAGGCATCTGCGCCCTCCTGATCTTCGACGGTGAGCGGTCCACGGCCCTCTACGTCGAGTCCGTCTTTGCGGGCTCGCTCCGTCCTGGGGAGTTGCTTCGAGCCAAAGTGAGCGACCTGGTAAAACCAGGTGCGTCAGAGGAGGCTGCGCTGCGATGGTGGCCCCTGGTCGTGGCGCCTGAAGAGCGGATGTTGCCCTCCAAGACCCAGACCTTCGACGACACCGTCATTTTCGAACGCCACCGACGAGCGGGCCCTCTTCCCGCTGGATGCCGCCCGGACCGCTCGCCTCTTCAAAGCTGCTGCCGACAAGCTGGGCGTCGACGCGTCTCTCTACCAGCTGCGCCACGGTGGTGCTTCTGATGACCTGCTGAAGCGCCGCCGCACTTTGAGTGAAATCCAGTCTCGCGTTAGAGTGAAGTGCGCACATACGGTTCGTCGCTACGCCAAGCCAGGTAAGATTCAGCAAGCTCTCTATCGACTGGCTCCCGCGAGCCGCCAGTACTGTGGATGGGCTCACAGCAACTTGAAGGGTCTGCCATGTGGCTCCGTCCGCCCGAGACGGCTGTGAGACATCGCTTGCGGTGCTTTTCTTTTTGTTTCTTGGTCGGCGGGCCGACCTGAGAAGGGCGCCGCAAGCGAGCTGTGAGCCGTAGCCAGGTAAGGGCACCGCAAGCGAGCTGTGAGCCATAGCCAGGTAACATCCTGCAAGCTCTCAATCGTTTGGCTCCCGCGAGCCGCCAGTCCTGCGAATGGGCCCACTGCAATTTGAAAGGTCTGTTCTGTGGCTCGGTCCGCCCAAAACGGCTGCGCGCCATCGCTTGCGGTGCCCTTTTTGGTCGGCGGGCCGACCAGAAAAGGGCACCGCAAGCGCGCTGTGAGCCATCGGTCGTTGTTTCGTTTTGTCTGGCACCCTCTCCCCGCCACCACCCGTGCACATACCTGTTGTGGGTCTTGGTATGGGTTTTGAAGTCAGTTCGAATTGTATGGCATTTTGTTTGTGCTTGCGCGGCGTGTCGGAACACGCGCGCATTTTTTTCTCAGACTGAGCTGGTAGTTGCCATCGCCCTGGTGCTTGGAAAGATGGAAGATAATCAGCGTGTCTCCGACGCTCCCGCCAGACGCCCCTCCTGGAATCATGTAATTGCTTGCTGGTGGTTGATTCCTCCGAGGGTTGGGCGTCGTCAGGGAGTGTCTGCGCTCTGTAGTCCATGCTGGCTCCCTCAAGCCCACCCTTCCAACCTAGGGGATGTGAACTCAGTTCGAATTGTATGGCATTTTTGTTGTGCTTGCGCGGCGTGTCGGAACACGCACGCACTTCTTCTCTTCAGACTGAGCTGGTAGTTGCCATCGCCTTGGTGCTTGGAAAGATGGAAAGTAATCAGCGTGTCTCCGACGCTCCCGCCAGACGCCCCTCCTGGAATCATATAACTGCTTGTTGGTGGTTGATTCCTCCGAGGGTTGGGCGTCGTCAGGGAGTGTCTGTGCTCTGTAGTCCATTCTGGCTCCCTCAAGCCCACCCTTCCAACCCAGGGGATGTGAACTCAGTTCGGATTGTATGGCATGTTTTTCCGGTGTTTGCGCGGCGTGTCGGAACACTCACGCCCCTTTCTGTTCAGACTGAGCTGGTAGTTGCCATCGCCCTGGTGCTTGGAAAGATGAAAAGTAATCAATGTGTATCCGACGCTCCCGCCAGACGCCCCTCCTGGAATCAATATCATCATCATCACCATCATCATCCTTATCGCAATCATTGTCATCATCATCACCATCATCATCAGCAGCAGCGTCATCATCATCAGTTTTGTCGCCGAAATTTGCAATCGTCATCATCATCACCATCATCATAATCAGAAGCACCAGCATCATCGTCATCATCATCACCATAACCATAGCAATAACCATCGCCATTACCAACCGCGTCATCTTCGCCCTCCCCCACCCCCTTTCTCCTCCACATTCCTCCTGCCTCTCCCCCGAGGCCAGGTGAGGAATCTGAGGAGCGCCTGTTGACGGCCCTGTCGAACCCTCTCGGCGGAAGCTCCCTTGGCCGACCTGGGGGAGACTGGCCGACCTGGGAGAGACTGGCCGCCAATGGGAGAGGCGCGGCGGGGAGGAAGAGGCGGCGTCGAATCAGCATGTCGTCAGAGTCTCAAGTGAAAGCAGAGCTGGCCGCCGGGCTCTAAGGTCTCTGGCGCCGGTCAAAACTAATCCCCCGCCCACTCAACACCCCAGCTGGCTGGTGCCCAGCCCTGGGCACTTCACCGGGTGTGTCTCGGGCCGAGAAGCGGGAGCCTGAGGAAGCGACGATAAGGAGGATGGCATGGCACATATGGATATGATATGGCATGACTTGTTATGATATGCTATGATGATATATTATATGATATAATGTGTTATAAAAATGATATGTTACGGTATGAAATGATATTACATGTCATGGTACGATATGATATGAGATCGGGGGTATCGTCTTCCTCGCCTCCGCGGGCCAGCGGGCCTCGCATCAGTATCGCACTCTTGCCCCCTGCGAGCGATATGGAGTGGCCGAGCTTGATGATACGTTCTGCCGTCGGAGCGGACATGAAGCGGCCGCCTGAAGCCGATGGCCCCGAAGCGGTGCCGCGTCGGCATGGGGGAACTCTCGCTTCATGCTGATGGCGGGGGACGACCTAGCACATCCTTGGGCGCAGCCTCCCCCTGACGTCGATCCCTCACCCGCTCAGCGATACCAAACAGGCGCTGCGCATGTGCACTGCCACCTTCATTCAGCTTCTCTGCGTAGCCTCTCGAGATGCACGACGTTTAGGGCAGTCTCGCGGCCGATCACCTCATCCGCTGCAGCCCGTGCATATGCCCCTGTGCTACCCTGATCAACTCGTCGTATGGCGCGGGCCCGTCGCTTGGCACCTCCCCCCGCCTCCCCGGTTGAACGCGCCACGGGCCTCACGACGGGCCATGAGGGCCCAAAGAGGCCCACGAGATGGTCCAAGAGGGCCCCGAGTCGCCGATGGATCGTTCCAAGACGCCCAAGATGGCCCCCAAACGGCCCAAGAGGCTCCCAAAGACGCGTCCCAAGAGGACCCCCAGAAGCAAAAATCGTCACACTCCCTTAGGGGAACGTGTGATTCTAGCACATTCGCCTCATGGGCTTTCACAACGTTCAAGACGGCCCAAGAGGCCTCCCGTAGCCATTTTGGCTCAAGTTCTGGCTCAAGAGTGCCGTGACTGCGACGAGCCGTCGAGACCGACGCGCATAGTTACGCGACTGGCAAGCGCCCATGGCCCGCTCCTCGGCTCGACGGTTGCCTTAGTAGAGGAGACTGCTGCAACGTGCGACGCGGAGGGTGGATGCGAAGACGCGGCCCTCGCGCAGCTGAAACACGTGCAGCTCAACGCTACTCGCCAGAACAACACTCTGAGGCGTTCGTGCGAAGGTGGCATCGACATGGTCGCGCTGTGCAATGAGAAATTGAACAACGACGGGTGCACCGCGGATTGTAACAGTCCCCCCAACAGCGCCAGCGGATGGACGTGCAGCACTTGTTGTCCAGCAGGCACCCCGCTGACGGAGGGTGGCACAACTTTCGAGGGACTGGTCCAGGAGGTGTACGGCGGCTGCTGCCCGGGTTGGTCCGACAATGGGGGGAACCCTTGCTACGGGTGGCATCTGAAGGACCCCACTCATCTCAGTGGACCAGCTTCGATGTGCGAGTAGACCTACGTAGACATGGAGAGGGTCAGTGCAGGAAGGAGCGACCCCTGAGAGTTTCTCAGCTGAGGTTGGGTCATATTGATTATTGTTGGATCGCCTCGGTGACGCTACCCAATAAGGTGCTGTCGCTTCAAGGTTTGCACATACAACATCCCCTCCGCAGGACCGGCTCCTGGTCGCAAATGTTGATCCGCAAGTTTGCCAGGACCTCGTGTTCGACCGCAGCTATGCGCGAAGCTTGTTAGTTTTTAATTAAATTGCTCACTGCGTGGAGCTCCCCATATGTGCATCTCATGTTTTATGTCATGCCATAGTGGCTCTGAAAGCCAAGGATGCTGGGCATGACAACGAGCAAAAAGAGACATCCCCAAAAACTGGCCGCGAACGGGCCCGTGTCCTACCCCCCGACGGCTTCTTTCAGGGGTGCTGAAACCAGTGCCCCGCTTGAGACATCCCCAAAATCTGCTCTGGAAGCCAAGGACGTTGGGCATGAACACGAGCAAACCGCCTGAGACATCCCCCCACATTGGCCGCGAACGGGCCCGTGAAAACACCCATGGCAGCTCCCATTAGGGGTGCTGAAACCAGCGCCCCGCCTGAGACATCCTCACAATCTGCTCTGGAAGCAAAGGATGTTGGGCATGAAAACTAGCAAACCGCCTGAGACACCCCCACACACTGGCCGCGAACGGGCCCGTGTCCTACCCCCTGGCGGTGGATAGGGTCACGGGCATGTCGGGGATCAGATTAAGAATGATGAAAATGGTTTTCTCATGGTTCTAGGCCGCTTGCGGGCCGCGCGGTGCTGAAGTTGAAAATGGTTCATGGTGGTTTTGAAAATGGCCGCGCGCGCGTTTCAAATAGTTTCGGTGTCAAACTAGCAGCTTGGCGCGCCCGCCATTGGAAGGTATGATTACGCGCAACGCGGCCTTCGCTCAGGGGTGCCAGGGCAAGTGGCGTTTGATCCTCCTTCCCACTCTGCCCTGCAGTAGGCGGTACGAGCCAAGGGCGTTTGAGCCTTCTCCGTGCCTCTTCACATGCAGCCCGAGCTCGGCCTTTAAGCGCGCGGGTGTCTTTTGTTGGGCTCGTTGGAACTAGAGGTTGCGTCTCGAACCGAAAGAGCCAACATGCTTTGCCCCACCAATTGCCGTTGCTACTGCACGCTGCTGGGGCCGCCGCCCACGAAGGCATCCCCAGGTTCGCGCCGAGTCCGTCACATGTGAAACGTGCTGCGTTTGCAGGCTGGCCCGCGCCGAGTCCGCGGCATGTGAAGGGTTTGACAACTCGGCGCCGCGCCGAGCAAGCTATCGCGCCCCCCCCCCGCCCTCCTTATCGGCAGAAGCAGGGGCGCGTGCAACAGGGCACTTGTTTAAGTTGTTGTATGTTTTCATGTGTGTGCCTAGCAGCTCCGCGAAACTACTGCAGCGCGCGCCTGTGTAGTCCATCGTTGTGTGTGTTGGGTAATTCGTCATTTTCCCTCCCCGCTCTGAGGTCGCCGCCCTGGGCGGCCGAATGACGAGAAACTTTGCTCAAACTTGCGCCGCAGGATGTGGAGTGAGAAGATGTGGTACGATGCGGGATCGATTACACATGTCTGCGGTAACTGCATATGCAACAAGGGGACGATTTGGGGAGACTCGTGGCCCGTCAAAGGAGGAGGACCATGAGCAGGAGCAACTGCAACAGGCGTGCGTCTAGGCGCGCGTGGCCCTGCCACCGCGTCAAAGAAAAACCGTGGTGACTATAATGGTTATGGACGACCGGGGGGGGGGGGGGCAGCTGCTTTGGCATTGGCGGCGCGCGCCGCAGGCATCTGGATATCTGGACAAACCGCGGGTGCAGCTGCAGGAAGTTCTTCCTGCCCTCGCACTTCCGCTCGTTCGCCAGCGAGACCTCCGTGCTTGTTTTGCGTGCTCGGTCGCGCCCGTGCTTCATGTTGCCCACAGCCACCTGGCACTCCATCTGAGAAAT